TTGACTATTAAAAAGAGCCCAAAGCTAACCTTTGTGCACTGCTGGTGGGAATGCAAACTGGTGCAGCCACTGTGGGTAAAATTATGGAGGTTCCTCAAAAAATTAAAAATGGAAATGTCATATGATCCAGTACTGGATATTTACCCAAAGAAAATGAAAATGCTAATTTGAAAAGATACAGGCACCCCTACGTTCATTGCAGCAATATTTACAATGACCAAGGTCTGGAAGCAACTCAAGTGTCCAATGATAGATGAATGGATACAGAAGATGTGGTGTATATATTCAATGGAACATTAGCCAGTCATGAAAATTAACAGATCTTGCCATTTCCAACAACATGGATGGATCTAGACGACGTTATGTCGAATGATTAAGTCAGACAGAACGATAAAATACTATATGATTTCGCTTATATGTGAAATCCAAAAAACAAAACAAAGAAGAAAACAGACAAAAATCAGAAACAGACTCATAAATACAGAGCACTATCTGATGGTTGCAGAGGGGAGGGGACGGTGGGGACGGGCAGAATGGATGAAGGGCAGTGGGAGATACAGGCTTCCGGTTATGGAATGAAAAAGTCACATGAATGAAAGCTACAGCAAAGGGAATATAGTCAAGGATGTTGTAATAATGTCGTAGGTGACAAATGGTAGCTACACTTGTGGTGAGCACAGCATAATGTATAGAAGAGTCAAGTCACTATGTTACACGCCTAAAACTAATGTAAAACTAATGTGTGTCAGCTATACTTCAATAAAAAACGAAAAACAAAACAAAACATCTCCAAGCCATCCTGGAGCCACTGTGCACTGTGCAGACCTGCCTAGTCAGGACAGGACACCAGTCAAGTAGCCTGGTTGTGACCTTATGCTCTGTGTCCTTGATATGGACAGGTCTTGCTCAGGCCTTCTCTGTCCTCCATCTGGTGAGCATGGTGTGGGGGGAGGCTGCTCTGCTGCTCCCATGGGTATGGCCTGGCTTTTTCTGCACTCACCACTGTCTCAGGCACACTACCTGGGGGACCCTCAAGAGCCCTGTCTTGATCATCCATGGTGAATGTGGGGCACACCCATGGATGTGCCACTGTGAATCTGCACTCACAGTGTAACTGGCAGGGCTTCTAGCACCTACTGGGTCCCTTGGAAAGGCACACTCTTCCTTCAGCAGGTAAGGCTGAGTTTGGAAAAGGTCATCCTGCTGATAGCCCTGCCCTGTCCCATCTTACCCTATCACAGAATCCTGAGGTTGGCTCGTTGCCCTCCCACCACCCCAAAAAAACCACTTCCCCTTCTGGATTGACACCAAAGGAAGAAGCAAGCTGCTTAATGAGAGAACTAGGGCTCCTGGGTTCATGTACTCTTGAAGAAAAAGGCCAAAAGCTGGGGAAGTGCCTTGAGGGCTACCCGTGGAGGGGCAGTGCTCCCCTGGATGACAAGGGTATGTGGCCAGGCGGCTGCTGTTAAGGGGGATTTCACAGGTGGGACTGGGGCCCTAGGTTCAGGATAATCCCATGTGACAGGCCGAGCTGGCACAGCAAGGCTAGGAGAGCTGGGACCCTGAGAGGGCTTCTCACTGTGGGAAGTGGAGATGTTGCTGTGGGGTGAGATCTGAGAGCCCCAGGTCCAGTCCCACCCAGCCCAGGAGGTGAGGCCTGGCACCCATGGCCAGTGGAGGCCAAACCAGGTGCTACTCCACTCAGCAGAAGCCCTCTCCCTCCCTCACCACATACCAGAAGATTTTCTTCCACCCCTTCCCAGTGTCTAGCCCAGGAGCCCCCAGGCTTTTTCTTGCCCAAGCAGGCTCTCCCCAGGGAGTGTTGCTCCTCTAACCTTGCTCCTAGCTATGTCCACGGAGGGGATACCAGCTCCTTGTCTCCTAGCAGTCCTTCTTACTCTTTAACATCTGTCTCAACCCCTTGGATCCCCTCCATCTCTTCCCTGTCATCACCCTCCTCGCCATCAACCCTGGGGGCTTCCTAGCCTCTGGGCCCCTGGCTTTTCTAGTACCCAGAACAAGCCCCCTTTCAACTGTGTCTCCTCAGCCTACTCTCTTCTAGCAGAAAGGGCTCAGAAAGCATTAAGCAGGGTCCCATCCCTGCTCCCACATTCTCTGCAGACCCTCCAGAATCCCACCTATATCAGGCTCTAGTGTCCCCTCCTGGATTCTCTCTGCGTGAGGTCCTTCCCAGGCTCCCTGACAAAGGCCTCCTCAACTCCTAGGCAGTGGGGCATGTTTAGGAAGGCCAATCCCAGGCTGAGCCCAGCTCCAGTCAAGGTCCTGTGGGGGTTTAGGAGCTGGCAGCTTTAGGGCCCTGATCTGAGTGTGAGCTGTCTTCCCAGATGCACATCTTGCCCCTTCCCACCAATTTCACACCATTTCCACTCCCCTAGGCCCCACTCCCACTCCTGAACCCTGGCTTGGGGAAGATGTTACTTTGTT